GTTGTTTGGCGGGCCCAGGCTGGGGATTCGAACCCACCACCTTGGCTGTATGTGGCTGGCGCCTTAGCCGCCTGAGCCACAGGCTCCGAGCCTCTGGTTAACGTTTAACTTATATTTTTTATTGCTGTTGTTGTTTTCTGGCTCTACCAAAGCATACAACACTTGTGCTACGCTTTCCAGCTTCCGAAATTTTGTGCTGTGGCCATCCATCTTTCCCTGTTCCTTTGTTCTTATGGCCTTTGACCATTAATTACTCTGTAACTTTAGGAAAGTTTCAAGAGAGGTGGGAGTTAAATAAATGCATGTGTACAATTCATTGTCTTGATCCAGAAATCAGTCCTTTTTTTTTGAGAGACAGCCTCACTCTGTTGCCTTGGTTGGAGTGCCTGGTGTCACAGCGACCTCATTCTTGGGCTCAAGGGAGCCTCTTGCCTCAGCCTCCCAAGTAGCTGGGACTATAGGTGTGCACCATGATGCTGGGCTAACTTTTTATTTTTTTCATATTTTTAGTAGAGATGGGGGAATCTCCCTCTTGCTTAGACTGGTCTCAATGTCCTGAGATCGAGTAATTCTTCCATCTTGGTCTCAGACTGCTAGGATTATAGGCATGAGTCACCTGCCCAACTAGTCTACAAACTTAAAGCTAGTGTTTCGGCAGGTTTTCAAATAAACACCTTCCTTTCCCTTCTCACATATCCAATTATAATCTCTGTCATAGCAAAATGAGAATCTAGAATCAGAAGATGTATTTTGAGCAGCAGTTCTTAATCAGTATTTATGCCTGTGGTCCCAGCTACTTGGGAGGCTGAGGCAAGAGAATTGCTTGAGCCCAGGAGTTTGAGGTTGCTGTGAGCTGTGATGTCACAGCACTCTACTAAGGGTGACATAGTGAGACTCTGTCTCAAAAAAAAAAAAAAAAAGAATCAGTATTTAGTCTCAGAAATTAGCTGCTCTAAAAGCTTATACAGATAAGGCACCTAACCTGTCATAGGGAGCTGGAAAAGTAGAGGAGAAATAGCTGTCAGCCAGCCTCAAATGAAGAGTGTTCTGTTAACAGAGGAGAGACTCAAGGGCAGGCTAAGAGCTTCAAAAAGTATAGTAAACTTAGAGAGTGAAATGTGTTAATTCCTCAAAAGACACATGATCTAAAGAAATAATTTTCTTTTAACTTCCAGGATGAAACTCAAATAGGCTCAAAGCATGGAGCTGGAGGAGCAGCCAGTGATAGCTCGAGCTTTCCCTGGAGTAAAGAGGTGAAAACCACTGAGCCAGAAGATGTGAAAAACAGAGAGAATCTGGAGGAGTCTCCAGAGTGGAAGGAAAAAGAAGCCAGCCTGTTGGAGGATGAAGAGGCTTCAGAGGTAGAGGAGGATGAAGAGGTGTCAGGGGTGGAAGAAGAGGAGGGCTCAGGGCTGGAGGAGTGGGGGGAAGAGGCCTCAGAGTTAGAGGAGTGGGGAGAAGAGGCCTCAGGATTGGAGGAAGAGGAGGAGGAAAGGGGTGAGACTTCGCTGTCATGTGAGGACCGGGACTCACCTTTTCAGGGTCACTCTGTGGTACATGCAAAGCGTGGAGTTGAGGAGATAACCGGTGATGGTGTGGACATTATTTTGGTTGATGTAGAGGAGGATTCTGAGCCAGAGGAGGAAGAAGAGGAAGGAAACGTCTCTGAGATAGGAAAGGTAGGGGCTGCCATCCAGGCTGAGAAGAGGGGGGGCTCAGGAGGACTTCAAGTTTCTTCTAGTTGTTTGGTTTCGGAATCTAAGAAGGAAAAGTGGAGGAAGCCCCAGGTAGCAGACAAAACCCGTAAGGGCACCGCCTCAGGAGTCACCAAAAATTTTAGGAAAACAGACGATAAGATTCATAAATTTCTGCCAACAGAAGAGCTAACATCCCCAAAAGTAGACTTAATACGGGAAACAGAAGAAAACTTTAGAAGAAGTGTGATTAATAGCATCAGAGAGATGCAGGAGGAGATTAGAAGTATTAAAGGTTGCCATCCAGAAGTCTCCAACATTAAAAATTCCATAGATGATCTGAACAGTGGGATGGATGTACTTGAAGAAAGATTGAACAGTCTAGAAGATCAAATTGAGGAGTTCTCCCAGGATACCATACAAATGACCAAACAGATGATAAGTAAAGAGAGGTTAAGAGATATAGAGGACAGATCCAGAAGCTCTAACATTCGCCTGATAGGAATTCCAGAAAAGAATAACCACGAGAATGCTGCCGAGGACATAATCAAGGAAATAATTGATGAAAACTTCCCAGAGTTAAAGAAAGAGTCGACTCTTGAGATTGTCAGTGCCTCCCGAATACCCAGTAAGATTGATAAGAGGAAACCCACTCCTAGGCACATCTTGGTAAAATTTTGCAATTCTAGCGATAAAGAGAAAATCTTAAGGGCTTCCAGAGAGAGGAAAGAAATAACCTACCGCGAAACAAGAATCAGATTGACGGCAGATTTATCGCTGGACACCCTGGATGCTAGAAGTAAATGGAGTGCTGTCATCAAAGTCCTGCAGGAGAAAGGCTTTAAACCTAGGATTCTATATCCAGCCAAACTGGCGTTTGATTTTCAGGGTAAGACAAAAACCTTTCTTGATATCGAAGAATTTAGGAAGTCTATTTCTTACATACCCTGTTTGAAAGAATTACTGGAGAACATAGTTTAGCGATATAGGGTGACAGCAAACACATGTGCACATGATTCCTCCCACCGACATATTTTGGGACTGAGGGAAAGAACGCTACAGATACTACCTAAATGTTGGTGAAATTTTTTTAAAACAGACTGCTGTGAAGGTAGTTATTTCAATTACTGTTCAGTCAATTAGAACGCTTTGTTACTATTTCCCTCCTCAATACTACAACCTACTAGTC